CCCCAAAACCCCAAAACCCCGAGTGCCCATATTCATCTAATAGAATTGACAATAATTAAAATTAGTAAATTTAATAATCTATTTTCTGACTCGTCATAAATATGGTAAAATTTTTCCTACTTATAATTGATCGTAGAGTTAAACAGTAATAACTTTTGATACAGAGCATGAAGGAATTATCGTAATAAATTTAAAGCTTAATCAATTTAGAATGATTGCTAATTCGATTTTTATGGACTCAGATTGGCATCTTGTGATAGCAATGGTATGAATAGATATAGCTTTTTATGATGATTAACTAGGATTTGTATAAGTGTACAATATAGAAAAAGAGGAGATCAATAAAAGCTCAAAGGCCAACTTTGCTGCGTAAGAATATTTCATTTAAGATCAATTAGACATGCTGGTCCTGCTTGGTAAGTAACATGGGCACATCCTAAATATGAGAGCATAATCGCTACATGCGGATATGATAAAAGAGTGAATATTTGGAAAGAAGTGAAATAATAGACTTGGGATCTAGTCTATCAGATAGAAGCAGCAGCATCAGTAAATTCAATCTCCTGGGCACCTTGGGAATATGGTTTGATATTAGCAGCAGGTTCAGCTGATGGCAAAATTCACATCATTTAGAGAAAGGGAGATGATACCTGGAGTACAATCTGTTTCGAGGGGCATAATGGAGGTGTAAACGCTCTTAGTTGGGGACCATCAACTGATCCATCAATGCTGAGTCAATAGCATCCAAGCGCTTAAGCTGATTAGCAATAATTCGCTCTGCCACCAAAGAGATTCGTTAGTGGAGGTTGTGATAAGAAAGTTAAACTATGGACATTCAAGGATGGTAAATTCAATGAACAAGACTTAGCCACTCATGATGATTGGGTGAGAGATGTTGCATGGTGCAATAATATTGGATTACTCCATGATACAATTGCTACATGTTCTGAAGATTAAAAGGTTAAAATTCTAAAGAGAGATACTGCTACAGACTCATGGAGCGTCAAAACTACTCTGGATATTTAAATTCCAACTTGGAAAGTTAGCTGGAGTACAGTAGGAAATCTTTTAGCTGTTTCAGGGCAAGATAATGTAGTTTAAATTTTCAAAGAGGCTTCAAATGGAGAGTATGAATTAGTCTCTAAAGTTAATGAAGAAGGAGTTTTAGATGGCAATTGATATAGATCTTAATTCATAATAAGTATAAAGTTATAAAGTTTTCTCATTGTCTCTTCTATGAATGTAATATTTAACTATTAGTATAACTTGAAAGTCAATCTGACTAGTAAAAATAATAAATTTTGATAAATATGTAGATTAAATTAATTTTATCGCCCTATATTCAGATATTTAGATTGCGGGGTTTTGGGGTTTTGGGGTTTTGGGGTTTTGGGGTTTTGGGG